TTGACATCAGTCTCATTATTACATACGTCTCATCATTCTCTCACTAGCCTATAATGTTTCATCAGCCTCTCATAGGTCTCGCATCAGTCTCATATTAGTCTCAAATCAATCTGGTTAACTGGAGTGTGTGTGTGTGTGTGTGTTGATGATCGCAGGTTAACCCTCGACTGGACGGTTGTATGAGGGACTGGCACTGGTTAACTGGTGAGGACACGTCGATTCAGGAAACCATCAGGAATAACGAGCGCATGCAGTGTTACGCCGTCGAGGACCACAGCGCCTTCTACCCCGGACACGGCTTTGCATACTTTAACCACAGCCATGGTGTGTGTGTGTGTGTGTGTGTGTGTGTGTGTGTGTGGCTCTCAGTCGGATTTATGTACATATTTCAAATTTTAGTTTTCATTTTTAGTTATTTTATTACTTTTTTTGTTTTTGTAAATAGTTTTTTTTATAATAGTTGTAGTTAAGGGTAATCTCCCTGCGTCCCGTAGGAGACGATCAGACGCTCCGTGTGCATGTGACCCTGCGCCCCGCCTCCTCGATCGGGGTCCTGTTCGCTCTGGTCCGTCAGGATAAAGTCCCGTTCTCCATCTCTCTGTCAGACTATCATCCCGGGACACTCGAGTGGAGTGAGGTGTGTGTGTGTGTGTGTGAGAGAGAGAGTTTAAATGAGAGAGTGAGAGTGTGTGAGTGTGTGTGAGAGTGAAAGTGAGTGTGAGAGTGAGTGCACAAGCATGTCTGTCTGTGTGTTTGAGCAGGATTGTGTGTGTGTGTGTGTGTGTATGAGATGATGGTGTTTGACATGTTCTGTCTGACCTCTGACCCTACAGCACGTGCTGGTGTCGTTCGGTGATGTGGTGGTGGCCAGTGTCCCAGTGAACCTGTGTGATGCACACACACACACAGTGAACGTGACGGTGTTCGGAAACAGTTCTGGTACTGTACTGGAGGTGGACGGGCGTCTCGCTCAGATCGAGCTGGAGGAGAATGGAGACGCTCTCGATCTCACGTCATCATACAGCACCTTCATAGGAGGCATCCCAGGTAACGGCTCACATCAGTCTCTGTCTCAAATCAGTTTCATTCGTCTCACTTCAATCTCTCATTCGTATCACATCAGTCTCATATTAGTCTCACATCAGTCTCATTAGTCTCACATCAGTCTTATATTATTCTCACATCAGTCTATCGTTTGTCACACATCAGTCTTATATTAGTCTCACATCAGTCTTATATTAGTCTCTCATCAGTCTTGTATTAGTCTCACATCAGTCTTATATTAGTCTCGCATCAGTCTCATTAGTCTCACATCAGTCTTATATTAGTCTCACATCAGTCTCATATTAGTCACACATCAGTCTCTCATTAGTCTCACATCAGTCTTATATTAGTCTCACATCAGTCTTATATTAGTCACACATCAGTCTCATTAGTCTCACATCAGTCTCATATTAGTCTCACATCAGTCTCATTAGTCTCACTTCAGTCTTATATTAGTCTCACATCAGTCCTATATTAGTCTCACATCAATCTTATATTAGTCTCACATCAGTCTCATATTAGTCTCACATCAGTCTTATATTAGTCTCACATCAGTCTCATATTAGTCTCACATCAGTCTCATATTAGTCTCACATCAGTCTCATATTAGTCTCACATCAGTCTCATATTAGTCTCACATCAGTCTTATATTAGTCTCACATCAGTCTTATATTAGTCTCACATCAGTCTCATATTAGTCTCACATCAGTCTCACATATTAGTCTCACATCAGTCTTTCACACACTAGTGAAACATCACTTTTGGTTTGCCTGTAGTTCTTGACCAGCACTGTTGAGTGTTATTAATGGGGTGTGTATGATATCTGCACACACTTCAGTCACAGCGCTTTAACCATCTAGCTGTGAGTGATGATGTCTTCTGTGCAGATGTGTCTCTGGTGTCCACCCCGGTGTCGGCCTTCTTCACGGGATGCATGGATGTGCGAGTGAACGGTCAGATGATGGATGTGGACGAAGCCCAACACAAACACAACGACATCCGCTCTCACTCCTGTCCTCTGGTGACCTCGGAGCAATAACAGAAACCCACCCTCGAGTGCTTTCGACCGCGAGAGGATCCGCTTAATCAGGATCCGATCCTCTGCACACTCGCGGCACGCACATATAGCACAGCCATATTGATGTATTATTACCACTGCTTACATTAGACCAATCGAACACAAGCTACTGAGAGTGTGCTGGAAAATACTGTATCTGTACATATGCCACTGTAAAATGCTTTTAGAGGACGATTTAAAAACAGCCACGCTCATCGATTAAGGCCTTCAGGCTCGATGTAGGTGCTCAACTTCACCATCATGGATTCATTCACTGGCTTGAGTTTTTTTAATCTTGTTTTTATTGTTGAAGTTGTTTTGTATTCCGTTCATGTTTGCTCTGTGTGTGAGAGTGAAAGGCTTGTTGAAAACAAATAAAGACGGAAATTGTTATTACGATGATTTCTGTCCATAATGGTGCAGGTGGTGGTGACAGCCCGGGGGGATGGCCGTGAGCAGATGGAGACCCAGGCTCAGCCAGTGGTGTCACAGCTGTAAACGCCTCATCCAGGCTGAGCAACAGCATCCATATGGAGATTAGCTTGAGGAATAAAGAGGATCCCTCTGGATAGAATGTTTCGTGTCCTCAATAAAACACATTCAAATTAAATGCAGAAAAACCCAGCAGTAAAATCCATATTCATAAAACCTCAATTGCGCTGCTGCGTTAATGTTTCTATAATCACTCCTGTCCCAGATTCTCATACATTAGCAAACACACTAGAAGTCACACACTCACATTTTATTTCCTTCTCTCTTACATGGTAATTCGTTAGCAGTTTGTTAGTATAGCATGTAGCCTACGACTAGCCGATGGCCACTAATAATAAGTGGGACAATAAAGACATCTAGTGGTTGAACACATTTACTGTAACATCAAACCCACAGTGCACTTACTCTTGTGTGGAAAAATTAACACACATCCCTCCCTAGAAAGTAAGCAGTGCCCAGCACAACTAACAACACAAATATGTTCTAAGAATGGTTCCCGTTAAAAATAACATTTAAAAAAAACGAAAATGAAAACGTTCAATTTGAAAACGTGAAACGTTATGGGAACGTTCAAAGAACATTGAAAAGTAAAACATTAGATGAACGTCCAACAATTTTTTTAATGAAGAAAAAAAAAACAGTTCCGTGGACTATGTATTACCATTCATAATGTTTTGAGAGATAACTTTTAATACTGTAATGTTATGTTGAAAGAGCGTTTGAGATAGCGTTCTGAGAATATAAAAGAAGGACCTTTTATATTCCTATTTAATGGGAAATTATTATGTAATAATAAACCCATGTGGAATTGAGTGTGTTTATTGTGGCTGAGATTGAGTGTTACTGCGCCTTTAAGAAAGTCGCTCCGTTCTCGCGCACATTGTGTCCATATACCGGTCCATCGCGGTCGTGTTGTGTTTTCATTCTCGTTCTGAACGGTCATGTCTGTTCATTCCGCTGAAGATCCGTTCCCGTTTCACGGGCTACTTCCGAAAAAAGAGACCGGTGCTGCCTCGTTCCTCACCAAGTTCCCGGAGTACGATGGCCGAGGGGTGCTCATCGCTATCCTCGACACCGGGGTGGACCCAGGGGCCCCCGGCATGCAGGTAAATCGAGCCCGCGGCTTCGGCTCAGCACTAGGCCGTAATGGGTTTTACCCCCGTTTAAGGAACCACAGACACTGGACGGTACCGGAACCCCCGTGTCATTATTTAAATACTGAAGCACTTACATACCCGAAGCCAATTAAGCTGATTAAATCTGCAAAACACATAAACGACATGTTTGAAAGGGCAAGCTGTGTCATCCTCATCAATGGCAGTGACTTACAAAGAAGCACCACGGCTATACCATAGTTTCCCAGACGTGTACTATGGGATTTGTGAGGTATATGATATGGCAGAAACAGTTATAAATTAATGTGGCATTAATCTGTCATCACAGAAACATTGTAATCTATATGACAATGGCTGTTTCCAAACCAGCAGATTAGCCTTGATCTAGATAGGGCACAGGCCTCCAGGTATCATCATATAAAGTTAAACAGCCAGTTAATAATAATACTACTGAGAAAAGTAATACATGATTGTTTTTTCCCCTGTGTTTTATAGTTATTTATAAGTATAGTATATATTAATTCAGATTTAATTCATTCTAATCAATGTGTTTATTTATTTTCTATTATTATATTACACCGCTTTTCTTTGTATTTACATCCATTTTTATTTATTTTAATCGTTTTTATTTTAGTTGAATGTTTAATTCAATTAATTTAAATTGAATTTATTATTTATTTAAATACATTTTTATATACATACATATATTTATCAATTTAATTTAATGTTTTTTTTGTACATTTTTACACTGCTTTTCCTATTTTTATGTGGTTCAAGCATTTGTAATGATTAAAGGTTTTATTTATTTATTTTTATTTAAATTAATATAATGTATTCATATATTATATATTTAAATTTATATATTCATAATTAATAATTTTTTATATTCATAAAATATTTTTTTACATTTTACTAAGCTGCTCTTATTTATTAAAATTCAATTGTATTTATTAATTTATTTTAATCAATTTTGTAATCAAATGCATTCTTTTGTATTAGTAAAGTTTATTTAATTTTAATCTTATTTTTAATTATTTATTTTTACATTTCTTTGCTGCTTATCCCCCTGTTTAAAGGATCCCTGTAAGAGGATCCAGCAGCTGTTTTTACACACACACACACACACACACACACACACACACACACATACACACACACTCACCTGTTCTGGTTGTCCACTACTGAGGGAGTCATGTGACATGTCTTGTTTCGATCTCGTCCGGCAACTCTTGGGATCATGTGTTCAGCACTGATCTCTCTTAGCATCTACGTTTGCATGATTTCATGTCAGCTGATCTGATTTGTCTGATTCGTCAGATCACCACAGACGGGCGGCCGAAGATCGTGGACATCATCGACACGACGGGCAGCGGAGACGTGAACATGTCCAGCGTGGCGGAGCTGAAGGACGGCTGCGTCATCGGACTCACGGGACGCACGCTCAGAGTACGCTCATATCTCATATTCACCCGACACACACACTTCACGCAAGCTTTCAGACGCTCGGGTTACTAAAACTACAACAATAACATGTTTGGGTCTCATTTTTCACCCTGAAATCAAAAGAAAGAAAAAGTATCTTTATTTAGACTTCTGTTCGTCTTTTGTGTCACAGAGTGGAGATTGCTCTGGTATCATATTTATATCCATATACACATTTACAACAACCATTGCACCATAATAATAATAATAATAATGTTAAAAAATGATTCAATCCTATCAATTAGAAAGTGCCATGATGCCAACCGTTCTCTTGGACTGATAACAAAAATAGCGTGGTTTAAATGTAATTTTAATGCGAAATAGAATTGAATATTTCTTGTAATTAGGGTGAAACGTGTGTGTGTGTGTGTGTGTGTGCGCCTCAGCCTGTGTGTTAATGTGGTGTTTCCTGTTTCTCTGCAGATTCCGGATGACTGGGAGAATCCGTCGGGGAAATATCACATCGGCATAAAGAACGCTTATGATTTTTTCCCTAAAGCTCTGAAAGAGCGAATGCAGGTAACGTTCGGAAGAGCTGATGTCATGTGACCAGGGTTGGGGATCAAAACTCCGTTCCAATTCTGGAATCAGATACTTGTCATAAAATTAAAATTTCGATTCCTTTGTGAGCATTTCGACATGACTGATGTTGTTGTTGACTCATTCAGAAAGAGCGTAAGGAGAAGCTGTGGGATCCGGCACACCGGGCCGCTCTCGCCGAGGCCAGTCGCCGGGCAGAAGAGTTCGAGCAGAGTCACCCCAACCCCTCACAGGTCAGACGCCGGAGCGCACGCTTGAGGAACACGTGGAACACTCATCCTTCCCTCGCCCCACCGCAAGCCATCAAATATACAATTTTTATTTTTGGGGGGGGTCCAGAAAGCTTATTTGATCTATTTTGATAATGTTTTTTTTTTTCTTTTGTAATGCATTTTTTTTTTCTTCTTATTTTCTTAATTTTATTTACCCTTTAAATTACTAGATTTGATTAATAAATAAATAGTATTTTAAGCAAATTCCTCACATTCTTAAATTCAAAATAATTTCACAATTTCATGCGTAACTCTTTTAATTCAGCTCTAAATATCTTCCATCAGGAGTCTGTGAGCTCTTGTGGAATATAATAATAATAACACATGATATTTCATGCCTCTAGATGGCCTTATATCTCTATATGCAGCAGAGGAGCTGTTCAGCTGGGTCCTGTGTGCGCTCACACACACACACACACACGCATGTACACATTATACAGTCATTTATTGGTAGTTTTGTTTGAATTGTGATAATTTTTAGGTTTGTCTGTGTGTACTGAATCATTCCACTCATTCCTGAGGGGGTCAGATTGACCCGATTTGTAACTTTTTAAAATTTCAACCACAAAACTCCTCGAATCTGCAAATTTTTTGCTGTATTCGTGGTTCAAGTGGCTCTTGTGCTGCCTTTCAGTCCACTTTTAGACACACTTGCAAACTTACCCTCGGGGAATCCCTGCCGCCATTTTGAAGGGCATGATGATTTTGGACTGGAACGCAGCCTTGGACTCCTGATAAACACTTTTTTTTTTTTTCAAAATGAACCGAGGGAAGGATGAACTGTCATGACAGTGGCGTTACACTGGTCGTTTCTCCTCTATTGTGTCGTATATCGAGAGAAACGCTTTGTGGGTGGGGCTTGATTGTGTCTGTGGGGAATTGATTGGATGGTTGTGGTTTGCTATTGGCTGATCTCATGTGAGTGACAGGTAAAGCCCCGCCCTCATCATCAGAGAAGAGAAGAGATGCTGATTCTGATTGATGTTTATGGATAAATCATTATTACAAACTGTGATTAAAAAGTTGAAACTGTGTGTGTGTTCAGATGGAGAAGCTGCAGAAGGAGGAGCTGCAGTGTCACGTGGAGCTGTTGGGGACCCTGGAGAAGAAGTACAGCGACCCCGGGCCGGTGTATGACTGTGTGTCGTGGCACGACGGCGCCACATGGAGGTCAGAACATGCACAACTAAACCACCAGCTTTCCAAGCCCTGAGATTCTCCAGCATGTAAACGTGCCGCTCGCTGTCCTTTAAATGAATAAATAAACGCACAACAAATGAAACCAGCAGTTCCTGTAGAGGAGGATATTTCATGTTTAATTATATAGATTACAGTATTTAATAGGGCTGGGTAATAAATATCGATTTCTCGATATTAATCGATTCTTATTTTTACGAACCGATATCGATTCTTAAATCTCAAGAATCGATTAGTCATCCTGTTTCATTTGAATGAATGGAGCATTGTTCATCCAAAAAATCGCAATAATCTTTGTCCT